GCTTCTTGTCTGCACCGGCCCGGATTCAGATGGATGTCTCCCGCTAACAATAAGGCCAAAACGATCATACTTCTTCGGTCTAGTTTGCCTGATGGGGGTAAGTACTTTCGCTTCGGGTTTGCAGTTAATAATGCATGAATGCTTGCACTTCCAAAGCGAGGTGTTTCCTTTCCCAGCCGTTGAAAAGGTAAAAGTAGCATGTTTCGATTACCAGTTTGTGGCTTGTATGTCTTGTGAACGCAACGCTGGCATAATATGATGTGGCCTGCTGACATGGCCTCTAACAAACACACAGGACTAAAATAATACGTGTGTAATTCAGCCCAGATGCGGTGACTGCAGGCCAAATCCATTAATGCGGCATATATTTGTGAAGTTGCACCGGTATGAGGCGCAGTGAGAACCACGCACCTGTCAGACTAGGCACATTTCAATTTCGGGAGAATATTGAAGATGTGATTGGTTGTTCCACTCTCCGTTTCTCACGAGACCAGCGCGCTGCTGTTTACATTAGTGTGGACTGGACCGACTGAAACTGACGGCAAGGTTAATTATTGTGGAAGGATGGACCCCCATCCTGCAATAAAAAGGCAGCGAAATGTGCTAAAATCACTGATTTATTCAGAACACCCGTATGGTATAGAATGACGAAGCAGAATGTAAGTGAGCGAACATTATGGCAAGGCAAGGCAATTTTATTTATATAGCACTTTTCAGCACGTGGCGATTCAAAGTGCTCTACAGATTAAAAGACATTTAAGAACAAATACATTATTTAAAAACAGGCATAATAAGCAAAGGTAATGAAATTAAATAAACACAGCAGGTACAGAATACATGACTAAAAAGGCATAGCCTACTGTAGTGTGAGTATGGGCAGCTCAATTAAAAGCAGCGGCAAATAGGTGCATTTTTAGTTTTTAAAAATAGGAAGTGTTTCGGCAGATGTTCCAGATTGGTTGGGCCATAATAACTAAAAGCTGCTATCCATGTTTAGTGGTTATTTCTCGGAACAGAGAGCAGACCGACCCAGAAGACCTGAGACTCCTGGATGCTTCATAGTGATGGAGTAGGTCGTCTATATACCTCGGTCCTAAGCCATTTAGTGATTTAAAAACTAGCAGTAGTATTTTAAAATCAATTATTTGGCAGACTGGAAGCCAGTGTAATGATCTCAGAACCGGAGTGATGTGATCCACTTTTCTAGTGTCAGTGCCACTATTATGAGCAGTGGCGTTTTTATATGTACAAAAGTGGTGGGGCACAAAAAACTTAGATGTCTATATATAAGCTTCTGCAGTGAGGTTCATGGCTGGTGAGGCACTGGCACTGACTCTTCAGGTTTACAAATATTATATTTTGACCTAAATCAAAATATAATATTATTTTCAAAAGCCTCTTTAGTCTGATGCTTCAATTAATTTTAAACAGACAGTTCAAACAGAAGGATACCCAAAAAATGTAATTTTATCATTTAAATATTGAATTGTTCTCTCTTAGTAAGATCCCATTTTCAATAAAATGGTGGTCTTACCTGACTTGAAGATGAAGTCCATTTGCCTATCCTTCTGGACAAAAATCTCTATTAACTTTTTTGTAAAAGTCCTCCTTATCTTCTTGTAGTTTCAAAAGTCTATCATAAATCTAAATGATGGATTTATGATTCGAAAATGATAAAAGTAGGGTAGACATGTGGATATTATCCGGCTGAACAAAACGTGCATTTATCTAACCGCTACGTTTCCCACAGATCTTATTTTGAGCTATTTTCTAAAATCCTATGGAGAAATCTCATTGCTTTTTTGTCGAAAGAAGCCATGCGCAGCTTACTTCCGGGTTTTAGGACGCGTCTCTCTCCTCCTCTTCACCTGCTCTTCACACACCACACTTTTCGCGGCACACGTACTTACAGCCAATCAGCTCTGAATGATGTGAGATGACGTATGGTGGGGATGGCAGCACTATGCCCCTATGGTCATTATTTTTTGCCACATCACAATTAAATAGGAAAATACTCTGAGCATGCGCAGTGTAGTTTTTACAGTCACCGTTCACTTAGACTGTGAGAGGGAGGGGCAGGATCGTGTTTTGTCCCACATGGCTCTAAACAGCTCAATAGGCACACACTGTAGACACTAATTAAAAGAACACAGACTAAAACAGCGAATGTACAGACGAATCAGACGATTAAACATGATCTTAAAATATATTTTAGATATATTTTATTTATTTTTTGCATTTTGTTGTAATCATTATTTTAATACTTTCTGCTGACACTAGGTGGGGCTGTGCCCCTAATGACCAGTCGCCACTGATTATGAGCCACTTTTCTTTCTATATTGTAGCCTGATAGCACATCGACTGTCAACAAAACAGTTCTCAGTCCCAATGCTAAGTTAGTGGCAGGCCCTGTGTGACTGGAGACTATAAGGCAACACAAAAACCCAAACATGTCCTTAATGTTACTCAAGGCAAATATATGTAATATAACCGTTAGACTGCAGCTAACTGTGGGGCTACAAACCCCTCATACTGGAGTGAATAACTTGAGATGGTTATGTTGTCTAAAGAGGAGACAATCATTATGGTATTAGGCCATGCAAATACAGGGTCAACTTAGTGATCAAATAAGTGTTGTATAATATATGTTCTTGAATAATGTTTTTTCATAAATAGTTGTTAATGATTACATGTTCTCCTTATTCAGTTCCACTATCAGATGATGCTGATGGTGATGACCCTGAGGGAGAGATGCAGGCAGAGCTCAGTGGACAGAACTGGCAGGTACAGAGGAATCTTTTTCAATAGGCTATGACTGACACTGAACTAAACCAAAGGAAATTTAATGACAACAGTATAAGCAAGCTATGTTCATGTTCTCTCAATAAATTAGTTATTGATTAGAGTTTAATCCCAATGCTGGTTCTTATTCAGTACCAGCAGATGCTGAGGAGGTTGACAAGACAAGTCAAGATTCAGGGTCCAGCACAAGGGAAATAGCAACTGAGTAGGGCAGCAACGTTGTAGATATTGACGATACATCCAGCAAGACGCCCCCAAACAAACTGGTATGGCCTGGCTGGGTGTTATAAATCACGACCTGACCTATGGTCCCAGTCCGGGCCCTGCTGACACATCACACACCCCATACACTACACACACATTACTGATGAACTGATATCACAATTGAGTTACTCTCTTTAAATAAATATACTGTAATTGGAAAATAATCATGTGTGGTGTCCTTGTTTTGTCCGTCCTTGATCCAGGGCTCCCTATTGTTGTATGTAGGTTATTCTTGTTTTTAGAATGAATTCAGTAATGGTGTAACACAAACATAATAAATCCTTGGATAGTGTTTCTCAAATGAAGGGGGAAATAATGAAATAAAGTAATGTATTAAGATCAGTGCAAGTTATTACTTTCTTCAAAAATACACAGACATTGCAGCACATCGTGTCACGTCTTTGTACAGCCTTTCTCAGCAGTAGAGTGCAATGTGTTGGTGAACCTTTGTTTCCTCCTGACAGCTCACTTAAAGGTATACTCAATTCAATAGCTTTATTAGCATGACCTCAGTTACATATAGTATTGCCAAAGCTCTGTATAGTTGCAACATCTATACAAAATATAAATATACAATACTCCCAATTGTGGCCAAAGGCAGACACAACTCTTGTCTTCAGATGTATGCTTGAGTGCAGCAAAATGTAGCACAGTGACTATTTTGTCAACTAAACATCATAAAACAATACATATTTTAGTAAAGGGGACATTATAATCTCCGCACATTAACTCTATATTTGCCTCCTAATGGTGCCAAAATGAAACGAAATAAAATAAACAATATATAGGGGTTGCTTTTCTTCTCTGAACTTCTATGTATACTGCATCCCTCCATATCAAATAACCATAAACAAATACTAAAGTCGTGTTCACTGCAGCGATCTATTTTACACACAAAACTATGAAAACTTGGTGATATACAGTTTTCTACTGGAGAACAAGGGAAGACAGGCTTCTCCTGTTTTTTCAGCCTTTGTTATCATTTGATAATTACAATATATATTCTTGTCTGTGGTTGTTTTTGCGTTCAGGGCATACAAGGGGTGTAACATTATTTTAATACCAAAACTACATTGAAATAGAGTCTCGCTTGAACAGCAACTGCGTAGCTGTCACATTACTGGGTTATTAGGTGATAACTACCAAAGTAAAATACTTCAGACGCAGACGTCACGTAGCTTCTCAGACGAGAGGGGTGGCGACGAGAGTGTCCGTTACTTCTCTCGCGCATAGTTCACGGCATGGTAGGCGACGATCGACACGTTAGTGAGCAGTGAGTTCGTTCATTGGCAAATCACACCTCATACCCTGCTCCACTGTGTTTGCGGCCTGAGCCACCAAACGCACGCCGTCTCTCAGAGACACCGGCGGTGCCCCGAAGGACGCCATCCCCGCCGCGAGGCGCGGAAAAAACACTACGAAAAAAGTATTAACCGTACTTGCAAAAGAGTACAAATATCCCAACGAAGATCATACAGTTAAAGAATGATTAAAACAGAACAACGAAATAAAAGTGTAAATCCTCTTCCCTCTTCAAAAACACACCTCCACCACAGAAGAAGAAGAAGAAGAAGAAGAAGAAGAGAAGAAGAAAGAAGAAGAAGAAGAAGAAGAAGAATAAGAAGAAGAAGAAGAAGAAGAATAAGAAGAAGAAGGGTCAGCATAACGAAGAAGAAAAGAAGAAAGAGAAGAAGAAGAAGAAGAAGAAGAAACAGTATAGGATAGATTTTGGAAAATCATTCAGTGCGTCTGAATACTTTCGCCCTCTGGTGACTGATTTAATTCTCCCAACTTTCAAGATAACAGGTCTAAAAATAAAAGAACAAACATGAATGAACAATAGAGAGTAGATTGCTGTCGTCATACTCTTGTATCAATGAATTCTGTAATAGCATCAAGCCAGTTTGAATGTGCATGAACACACTAAAAAGGTTAAAGGTTAGACAACAACATTTTATTTCAACAGTCAATTATGGCAAGAGCAGTTTGAGATATTTGAAAGGCAAAACAAAGTGCAAGCTTACATATTGGATCAGCCTGTAACTACAACACAGTGTTGAACAGAGTATCAGTGGAGTGAACATTTCCTCTCCCCCCTCGAGCTCAGAATCCTTCTCTGGTTTTATGTCCTCTAGATTTGTTCTACTCTCTACTTATTTTAGTGACGATATTATTTGAAGAATAAATGACTAGTAACACTGATCACCATCAGAACCACAACACACTGTAGTGCACTGAACACACTGAAACGTTGACTTTAATTCAATTAATTACGTCAACAGATATTCACATAACTGTATTAGGTTAGTTGAAACCCAAAACATTCCATTTGAATCAAAAATATTAGGTTCAACTTAATATGAATGCTTTCATCTAACCTAATACATTCATGTGAAATATGTTGACATAATACATTTAGTTAAAGTCAACATTTCAGTTTGTTCAGTGTGTAGGTGTAGCAGTGCTAATACTGAGTGTGTATTCATGGCAGGAGTGAAAGGGCAGGATGGAAACCTTGGACACCGTGTTGGGACCCCCACATTTCATTTTGACCAATTCTTCTGATGTTTATTACCGTGCACTGCTGTCATCAGCATTGGCTCTCACTTTGATTCATCGATCCTAATCAGAATTGAAACAGTTATTATTGTTCCGGTCGCCAAGAGGCTGACATCCATATTTACACTCTGACTGACATGACACCACAGGGAGGAGTGTGTGTGTGTGTGTGTGTGTGTGTGTGTGTGTGTGTGTGTGTGTGTGTGTGTGTGTGTGTGTGTGTGTGTGTGTGTGTGTGTGTGTTGAGTTCAGGGCTCTGAGGTCACATCTTCGATGGGCTCCACCTGGGGTTCAGTGGGGGGGGTGGAGATCTCCTCCATCTGATCTGAATCGGCCTCAGTTACAATGACAGCCACCTGTCGACACAGAAAGCAGATCAAACAGGAACATGAAGTGAATAAGTTAACTGAGGTTTGGGAGCAGGACCCCTCCTCAACCTCACCTCTCATCACCTGCTAAGTTACTCCAGTAAACACATCTCGCCTTGTTTGTCTTCATCACTCCCCCCCACACCCCCTGGACCATGCATCCCCTCTTTCGGCCTCCCTTAATCTCTTTCTATTTAATCCGGCACATATGTTTGTCTCATTCTGGGTAACGTTTGAGGGGCTTGAATTGATCAGGCAGAAACATGCCAGAGACCCCCCACCCTGAGTGTCCCTCTGCCTGACTGACGGAAGACATCCCTCATCCTTCTCTATCACTCCCCTCACATTCAATACCTCCTGAAAATAAAACCTTTGAACCAACTTTGTGTTGTGGTGCTTACTACTGAACAACATGTTAAACAGAGATTGAAGGGACTATACAGGACTCTTATTTCTCCACCATCAAGGTCATGCAAACACTTCCAGTAACCAAACGTATTCATCATTTGGTATGAAAACATTTACACTAATCAGCGCCTTGCCTTATTAATCAAATACAAGTACCACCAATAAAAGCACCATGTTGACACAGGTCCTCAGATAGCTTGACGATGAATTGCACAATAATCTAAGACCACAAACTAACTGTAAAGGAAATGTCCAATGCAAAGGATAAAATGTATGTCACGCCATGATGGACTGCCTGCTAAATTCTAGGAGAGATTTAAAAATAAACTTTCTCCTGAGTTTTTTTTAGGAATCTTACAAATGTAGTCTTGATAAAACTATTACAGTATAATTGGGTGATGCGCTAACATAGTCCGACTCCTGTGAAGTTACACATGTCTAGAAAATGAATCCAGATATATGATACAAGTGCAAAAATACGTTTTTATAGAGGATTAAAGCCACAACTTTTGAGATCTGACCAAAAATGAATATTCTGAATCCTGAGATTAAAGTCAGCATTTTAAAGTATTTTTTCTCAGAATTAAAAGAAAACTGTATTGTACCTATTTAACATTTCTAGCTTACAAAACAAAAGTCATAAACATATTGTTTATTGAACAAATAATATGTCAGTATCAAAGACTTTATGCTACCTGAGAAGTCTCGGCCACAGCTGGAGACACCTGCACAGCTGGAACAGAGGGGGGGCGGGTCTGTGGGTACACAGGCTTCTGTCTGGGAGCCTGCAGGACACACACACACACACACACACACACACACACACACACACACACACACACACACACACACACACACACACACACACACACACACACACACACACACACACACACACACACACACACCACACACACACACACACAGGTTTTAACTATGGGGCTACACAATATATCAGAATAAGTACTCAGTAATAAGGTCGTGACCTTCTGCTGCTCTTACCAGAGGACACATTTGTAATATTAAATATCTTGGTTCTTCTTCTTTTTAAACTGTAGTATGTGCTCATGTGTTTCAGTGTTGGTGTACAGGCTGCTGCCTGAATATGCTGAGCGAAAAGCAGCTTTTCCTATCAATCAAATCATTTCTGATCCTAAATATCTTGGTTTCTTCTTTTTAAGGACACATTACATAATACACATCTTATTGATATTTCTTTCCTCTTTTATTTATTTGCTTTGCATTTGATATTGAGGTAATCTACAGTAAGAGAAAGTAATCAGGATTTTAAAGTAACCCTCTCAACCCTGACACAACTACTCCCCCATATTACTTATTCTAGTTAAGCATGTATCTACGCTCCTTCCTGGGGTTAAATTGGGATTTGATATGTGGGAGGGCTATACTGTGTGAGGCCCTAAGTAACTGCTCCATTATCTGTATCATATCGGAGCAGAGATACACGTTCACTAAGCCAAAAAACTATATCCGGACACAGAGATCTGCTTTTTTAAAAATAAAGTCAACACATATCGACCTTAAATATATGTATTAAGAACGAGAAAAGTTTTAACATACCATTTTTTGTAAACATATGACAAATGTGCGAGGGTGATGACGTCAGAGCATCGTCCCATGTGCCGGGGCTGAGCCCCGGACAGCCCTGGCCCAATTTAACCCCTGGGTACTTCCATCTGAGTTACCTCAACATTACATTACATGACATGTCACTTGTTAGACGCTTTTATCCAAAGCGACTCACATACTCAACACTGAGGGCAATCCCCACAGGAGCACTTTGGGGTGAAGTGTCTCAGGGACACAACGACATGTTGACTGCAGTGGGGTTTGAACCTGTGCTCCCCTGATCCCAACACCAACGTACTAGTCCACTGTGCCACAGCCTCAACATGCTGCAGTATCAATAGGAGCATACCTGTGCCCCCCCCGCAGCCAGCACACTGAGCCCGAAGAGCATGGCTGTGATGCAGATCAGCAGCTCCAGCACCAGGAAGATCACCAGGGTCACCAGGATCCCGTCGATCAGCAACTGCAGAGAGAAGCCCCAGAGCAGAGGGGGTCAGGGGGAGCTGAGTGTCTCTGACCGTGACACTGACTTCAACACAAGTGTTTCTGTCTTCTCCATGCACTCTACTAAGTACGAGTTATAACAGTAGTCAGTCACTTACTTTACACTTTTGCTCGATCAGCCCGGTGCATTTCCTGAAACAATGTTGCTGCAGTGGACGTAAAGACAGAGAAACATGGAGTCTGCTTTTTCACAACATGTAGTGTCAACTATGAAAGCATGTGATCCTAAGGGTCAGTGAGGCTCTGTAGCCGGCTCTACGGCATGACAATTTCCATCAAGACTTGATTAATTAAGGTTAGTTTGAAACATTTTCACATCTACCTACACACCTATAAAGTAGGTTAGCTCTCGTCCTTACAGTTTTTTTTTCTTCAAATAACACATTTTTTGAAACTTTAACTTTAACATTTAATGTATTTCCTCTTTGTGTCTTCTCTGGTTTGACTTCCTGTCTTCTAGTTTTCCTGCCTGGGTGTCTGATTGAGTTCACCTGCTGTCCTGTGTTTCTGCCTCCCTTCTCCAGCTGTGTTTTGTCTACACAAATGTTATGTATTGTGTAATCTTGTGTGTGTGTGTGTGTGTATAGTCCCTACTCCCCTTGGTTCGTCTTCTCTGGTCCTGTCGGTCCTACATGTGTGGTGTATTTCGTCTCTGCCGGTTTCCAAGTGTTCCTTCTGTTTCTCTGCCACTTGTTTCCCACAGCCAATCTATCCTTGTTCAGTTTTTTTGATTTGGTATTTTTGCATGGTTTGTCCTTGTTTTTGTGTGAAATCAGCTTTTTCTTAATTAAAGCTTGATTTTGGTTACGTAAACCTGCCCCCCTCTCTAACTGCGTTTGGGTCCAACCTTAATCCGTGACAAACAGCTGGCAATAAGGGTTTGGCATTTTGAGCACCGGTGTTTTGTGTCCCTGACCAATAATTAACATTGTCCAGTGTGACTGCACAGGTGTTGCATATTAGTCACTGTTGTAACTATGGAAACACCTTTTGAGTTTCATCAAAACAAAGTACGAGAGTATAATCTGAGAGGGATTCTTTTGTTTCTGTCCTGCAGACATTGTTTCAGTCTTGCACCAGGCAAGACTCACATCTCACACTGAGGCAAGTTTGTATCAATGATCCAAGTTAATGTTGGAGATGTAGTTCAGTCATGTGGATTTAAGTCCTGAGGCTGTAACATAACTGTTTTGTTACATTAGTAGCTATATTCTTTTAGCACAGATTGTTTGGTCATCATTAACACCTTCAATCTACTTGTAAGTGCTCAGGTTGCAGGTTTAGCGGACATTACCACGGCGTGCAGCTCCAGCCGGTGGCAGTGCTCACAGTGGTACGAGTCCTGGCGGTACGGCAGGTGTTTGGACATCAGACCCAGGGCGGCGGTGGAGAACGCAGCACTGATGAGGTGCAGCACGAGCACAACCTTCACCTGCAGATCAGAAAGTGTCATGTTCAATAATGTGACAAAACACAGTGCTCTCCGATGCTGCAACTGTCTACAGCAGGGGTGCCCACACTTTTTGGGCTGGTGAGCTACTTTTGAAATGACCAGCTCACCGAGGTCTACCAACCACAAATAAAATCCCAAATTGCAAGGGTTGCTGAATAACACGTTTTATTTATACATGGGATAACTACAATAGGGCTGCAACAAACGACTCATTTGATAATCGATTAATCTATCGATTAATGAAACGACTAATCGACTATTCAGACTATTACTGTATGGCTTGCACAATTTCTCAAACGCTCTTATTTAGCCATCAACTTTTAGATGTAGCTTGAGGTTGTTTTAGGCATGTGGAAACTAACAATGAAGACAATAAAGATGAATACTTGATTCAAAAAGACATATATTTACAAAACTAACATTGCTTTTTATTTAAATTAAATAAATAATATTTCACATCAAAAGAAACAACAGTGTTTTAACAAATCGTATTAAATAATCTGATGACAGAACTGTAAACAGAATAGCTGAAACTTTAACAAACTAAATAACTGTTTCCTCTAATCATTAACCCATGTTTGTATCATTTAGTTAACTCTGTGTGTTGCTGCTAGCATACATAACACCTGACGTGGAAACGTTACTCGTGGCAGAGTCCTGCACGGGTCTGATTTTCAAGACCCGCTCCCGCCCCGCACCCGCGACGTACAATACCGAACCCGCCCCGCTACCCGCACATATTGCCAATTAGTTCCGCAACCCGACCCGACCCGTCGGCACAAGATCCGCAACCTGTCCCGAACCCGCATAGCCTATGAGCAGTGAAAACGTGCAATTATTAACACACGCAGTTGCATATTTGTCTCAAAAAGCGTGGGATGTTGGTTATTTTCTCCATCTAGGATGACACAAAAAGCCTCCCAGACGTTGGATTTCGCTCTTGAGGAAGTGTTATTGAAAATGCTGTATTCTCCACTAGAGAGCTTCACCTCAGCCATTTTGAATGTGGCGCGCACAGCAGCAGATTGATGCGCTGCAGAGGTTATGATTATGCGCGGTCCCGCGGGGGAGAGGTCTGAGGATTTAAAACATTCAACTAAATTACTATTATTTTAATATATTTATTATGCAATACCCGCGACCCGACCGCCATCATCTTTGTTTTACCCAGAACCGAACCCGGAAAAAAGCGTTTGAAAAAATACCACCCGCGAATCACCTTTTTTGCGGGGTCACACGTCGGGTACCCGCGGGTAACCCGACCGCGGGTACCCGCGGGTACCCGACCCGATGCAGGACTCTGACTCGTGGATGGGGGGCTACAGAGCTACTAGAAGACAGTCGAGCGAGCCCGATGCATTTCTCCGTCTGAATGTGGAGCACTTTTGCTAAATGTTTAGACAAATTGCTCGTGTTACCGCCCTTACATGCTAAACACTCTTAGCACGAGCATTGTCCACCTCAAGACGGTAACATTTAACCACACTTTGGAGCACTTCTCTCCGCCATCCCCGCCGTGTGTTGCTGCATGTAGCAGCTGCGTGTGTGTAAACGGCCCCGCCCCCTCGCACACAGACGGGGGAGAGAGATCTCGTCTGGATTGGAAAGATCGAAAATACACCGACCATAGACGCATTTGTTTGTCTTTTTGCATGATAGAAACGAGTTGGCGACACTAAGACTGCGAGATAATAATAGGCTACATGACCTTTTCTCTTCTCAAACTCGCTACTCGGAGGGAAGTCGCTGTCATATGCAGTGGCGTTTTCTCCCGGGAGGGCCAAGGGAAGCCAGGCTTCCCCTGTTTTTTCGGATTGTAGTTATAATTTAAATAAATAAATAAAAACACTTTGTTTTTGTTTCGATAATTCTCCTTTGCTGTGTGTTGCTGCCGGCCCGTCTCTCCCCCATTCTCATTGAGTATTTTACAAAGAGTGAAACAGCGCCCCTCTAGATGTTATGGTGAAACAGTAGATTGCACTCACTGTTGCAAGAGGAGGCCAGCCGAATCTGGCTTCCCTTGGTGAAAAAAAATTGAGGGATTGACCAATCAGATGAGGCTCACGTGATGCCCCTGCCAACCTGTAATTGGTCAGGGCCATGCCAAGGGAAGCCAGAGGCGGGTGGCTTCCCTTGCCTCACAATCCAATCAAATCGCATCAATTTAGTGTTGCAGTGACGCATCCTAAAATCCGGAAGTAAGCTGCGCTCGGTTTCCCTCATGTTTCCCTCGACAAAAAAGTAATGGGATTTCTCCATAGGATTTAGGAAAATAGCTCGAAATAAGGTCAGTGGGAAAACGAACCTGTTAGATAAATTCAAGTTTTGTTCAGGTCGGATAATATCCACATGTCTACCCTACTTTTATAATTTTCTAATCATAAATCTAATCGATAGAAGATAGATAGCGTCACTGCACCACCCTCACCGCCATTAGAAAGTAGCAAGCAACTGAAGCAAGTGCAATTATGTAGGGTGGAGATTTGGAGTATTTAATCAAAAATAATTGTACTAAACTTCCGCTACAGCAGCAACAACAAATACAATATGATGACAGGCTGAAAAAAGGAGGCGAATCGGACGTAAAACGTTAAAGGTCTCCTGATGTAGTTTGTGAATGAATGCTTATTAGAGTTTCGGCTGGAGAGTGCGTGCGGACCTGTCGGTTAGATAACAGGTGTGTGTAAGTCCTGCATCTGTATGATACAAATGTGTGTAAAATGATAAGCACTCATCTGGTTACGTTATTACTTTGACCACCACACCCCCGACCCAAAGAAAGGACGTATTATTGGCTTCCCCTAATTTTTTTCCTACGCCACGCTACTGGTCATATGCCTTGTGAACACTCCGATAATGCCTCTCCACGTTACCTTTCTTTGGCAGAGCGACGCTTGCTTTACAAATAAGGCAAATAACCTTTGAATGTGACATCACAACAAAATATTCTTCCTCCCATTCCGGGTGGAAGTGGTTTGTCTTTAGCTTCTTGCTCGGTCCCGCACTCATTTTGTTGTTTGTCTCTTGAACTTCATTTGAGTTTTCCTGGCACTTGACTGATTTTGTATCGCTTTGCATTCTGGGTTAACAGACTGGAAAGCGATAGGTCGCTTTTTCTGTCAATCAAGTAAACTCCTGAATTAAGTGTCAGGGAGGCCAAGGGAGGAGGGATCAAAACCTGTTTTGTCTATTTTAACGGAGCTGGATTTTTTTTTTTTATGAATGACTCGCGATCTACCAGCATTGCCCCCGCGGTCGAAGTACTGGGCACCTCTGGTCTACAGGCAGCACTCTGCAGCAAGCTTCACATTTGGCCTCCATTGGCCAGTAATAATGAGAACGCTGTATTTCATTTACTTTGCAATAAAAGACAATGATCTTCCATCTTACACCAACTATGAAAATCATTTTCACAGACAAACACATAATACAGTAACGCATTGTTTAAAACAATGTTTCAAATATGAAATGTTCTATGTTCGAAAGATAACAGATTGTAGAGTTATACAGGAAAGTGTGCGGAAATGGGTTAACATTTTAGCAGTTCCCACATATCGTGTAAATGTTCTTCCAAAGTGTTTTGAAATGCCTCAAATAAGGTCTGTAGCATAGACTGTATATATAAATGGATGTAGTGTCCGTGACGTCACCCCATAGAATCTGCAGAGTTGCCGACAAGCCCTTAGTAGGCGGAAGTCGGCCACTAACGGCTTGACAGCAACGTCAGAGTCTAATCCCGTCTGCTCCACATAAGGGCAAAGAGGCGGGACCTGCTGCCTCCGAAACTGGAAGTAAACAGAGCTAGCTCAAGCTAAGAAGCTAATGCCCGTCCACACAGCGGCGTGCGTTGAAGCTTCCAACGCTTCTGCCCATTCACTTTGAATGGGGTGACGTCACTTTTAGCCGAACTGCATTTTGGGAAGCGGAACGTGGAGCGTTGCTGGCGTTGCTCGCTTCAAAAGTTGAGCAATGTTCAACTTTTGACGCCTCGATGGAGGCGTCAGCCAATCGAATCATATGCCAGTACAAGCTCTAGCCAATCCAACCGCGTGCTTGTGTGTCTGGGGCGGGAGATTCATGTGATTGGTTGTTGGTCGAGTGTCAGACACGCCCGCCGGCAAGCGTCAACGCCCGCCGGCAAGCGTCAACGCACGCCGCTGTGTGGACGGGCCGTAAGCGAACATGAAATACATGGATTCCAAGTTACTGCTAACAGTGTAGTTCCCCTATATCAGTGGTTCTCAAAGTGGGGGGCGCGCCCCCCCAGGGGGGCGCAGAGGAATGACAGGGGGGGCGTGAGAGACCAGGATGAGAAATGGTTATTAAAAAAAAATTAAATAAAAAAAAAGATAACAAAACAAAAAAATCATATTTTTTAAAATGATTGATTCGAAAATACGTCTGGGTCTCTGTGTTTTCATTAAAGCTCTGTGTGTGTGTGGAACGATGTTAGCTTCTGGTGCTAGCGAGCTACGCTAACGGATATAAGGAGTTTTTTTCAACAACAAAGTGGAGGAGAGTGTTATCAGTGTTATCTCAGTGGGTCTCAAACATTTGGTCACAATTAATGTAAACAATTATTCCGAGGCACACGTTTATATGATCATTAGCTATAAAAAATAAGAGAATAAATAAAAAACAGGTATGAAATACTATATGACATTAAAAAATGATAAAGTTTAAAAGGGGAGTGATTTGTAAAATATCCATAAAGAAATAGTAAATCTGTTTACAGTTCTGTGTTGAGAGATGTATCCATAGATCTCTTCATTTTGCTCTCAAGTGCACCAAGATTGATGCTTTTAACTTCAATATTTAAAAATCTTCCTGGGGGAGCTTGCCCCCGGACCCCCCTATGTGAGGTCCACACACCACCTGTAAAAATAGCACTTGACCCTGCTTACAACTTATATGCCGTGAGCTGATTATCGAGCCTTCATTGTAACTGTCACAACTGTGTATATGCGTGGGGAGTGTTGCAGTAGAACATTCAACTGTAGCTCCCGGTACATTAATGGGAAACGCTAAATGTTTGAGCACCCTCTATGAAACATCAAGCTACCCCACAGTACCCCCAAAATAAATCTCTGACGCCGCCACTGAGCCTGACTATTTGTGTTGGGGGGGCCCGACTTTTTTTTTTCTCCAAAGACTGACAGAAAACAAGTTTGAGAACCACTGCCCTACAGTATATAAACGTTACATTCATAATCAAATGAGACAATCTGCAAGAGAATTAGCTATATTTTGTTATTCTGAATGCTTGTCATTCACACGTTAAGAAAATAAGTACCGATACATAGCAGAACAATTGTGGCGATGTTCAGCTTAATAAGCGTTGTTCAACATAATTTATTTAGCTGATACTACAGCAGGCGAACCAAGTCTGCGTTTCGCTGCATTCCATGATCTCAGTTATAACGACGGACTCCACCGCCCGGACCTAACGGAGCCGCAGTGGGCTAGCCCCCTGCGGCTCCGTTAGCTCCGGCGGCCACCACTGGGATAATTGGGTCCCCTATTAACATTTGCTCCCGTTTAGCATTATGGGCGTCATAGCCATAGACTATAAAAGTCTTACCCAAGGCTGAATCATAAACTAAAATGTATATGTATGTATAAAGGGTTACGTCCTTAGCTGGCTAATAAGTAACAAGCCTAAGCTACCAAGCACACAAACACCTGCGAACGGGTTAACATGTATAATATTATCATTTTAGACTTCTTGGAAGTTCTGTTAGTACATCAAGCGCACAGCACGACATTTTAATTGTCTGGTATTTGTAACAATATTCCCCAAAAGGCACAATCACCACGAACACGGCTAAAGCTAAAGGGTTGTAGCCTCTATGGTTGTAGCCTAGCAGAGTGGACAAGTTGCTGTTAGCTGACAGTGAGGCATGTACGTGTCTATCAACGTGACCACGCCCTCATTTATGCAAAAACGTTAAGACCTAATATAAATAAAAGGGTCGTGTTAGAAAACAATTCACTCACAGATCCATAATCATGAAGGTGGAATCTAACTATATCGATAATAAAATGCATGGAGCCAGGGGTAGAAACATGTTTTTTTCTGCTGTAAAGTTGGGCATTTTAACATGGGGGTCTATGGAAATTGCTCCTTTCTTGCAGCCATCGCCTATCGGCCAATATATGAACTGCAGTGTGTGGCACCTTCCGTATTGGCCGTCCCGGCTGTTCCCCAGAGTTTGCCGCTTGGTCTGTAGTTAACACAAGCTGAAGAGATTTGCATGTTTTGTACTAAACATAAAATACATCAGTAAATACCCTGCTGGTGAATGTCTGAAGCTTCTGTTTGTCTTCAAAACAGTAGTTGCCAACAAGTGGCTAAAGGGGACCACTAAACATCATCATCCAAAACATTAGCCGCCTTTAGCTTAGCGGTTGTGATGTGCAGCCATGTGGACCGTGACTAGCTCTTTGAAAGCCTAACATTAGCTTTTTACTATTGACGATTATGTTTACCTTTCAATAATCATAAAGTGGTGCTAATATGTGGAGATTATCCTGCTGAACAAATGTCTAATGGGCGGTGCGATTACATGTAAAAATCAATGTAGAGACGCAGACAGACGCAAATTCGCTCCGACGGCGCGCATTAAGCGGTTTGATGCGAATTCCGCGGCGCGATTGAGGCGATTGAAGGTGGCTGCGACAAAACGCTCCGAGTTAAATGTGTTCAACTCGAGCGTGAAATTCGCGTGACGCAATCTCGCGGTAGCCAATCAGCGGTGTGGATCTCAGGCCTGCCGTCACTGACGTTGAACCACAAAATCAAAACATTAGCCGTTAGCTGTTAGCACTCAGAGCTCACAGCTCCTCATATCTGTTCAGAAACTAGACAAAAGTTAAACAAGTACAAACCACAGACTGTCTGTGTCATGGCGAATACAGTCGCTGATTTATTTCTGTCTGTATAGGCTGTTGTTGTGAGTGTGGAGCAGATACAACGTTAGTTTAGCCGGATCGATCCGACATCCATTCAGAAAACACGCATTTTAAAAGGTTTTCGCCTGCCGTCTGTCTGCAGAATTGTCAAAACATTAATTCATGGTTTTTACTAACCGGTATCAGTATGTTGTTACTTCGGGATAATTTTGAAAACATGTATTACTGTACAATTAAATCACGGTCAAATATGTTCATTTAAGCCAGCGCGTCTTGATACGAGTAAACACGGCTGACAGCCGCGGTGAAACCCGAGCGTTTAGAGCGATGCGATTAGAGTGAGGCGAATATTCGCATCGCGTCCGGTCTGAACGCAGCATAAGTATCATAAATGTTTGTTTGCCACAGAGATTATGTTCTGCAATATACTGCAAACCAATGGAAAAATCCCATTGCATGTTGTTGAGGGAGCCCTTGTGATGCTAACTTTCAGGCCTGATCTAAAGAAATATGTCACGCACGCGCGCACACACACACACACACACACACGCGCATGCACGCACACACACCTCCCTGTGGTGTCATGTCAGTCAGAGTGTAAATATGGATGTCAGCCTCTTGGCGAACGGAACAATAAGAACTGTTTCAATTCTGATTAGGATCGATGACTCATGAATCAAAGTGAGAGCCAATGCTGATGACAGCAGTGCACGGTAATAAACATCAGAAGAATTGGTCAAAATGAAATGTGGGGGTCCCAACACGGTGTCCACGGTTTCCGACACTCACACTCGCACTGTTACAAACACTTTAACACACCCTCATACACTCATTAAAACACATCAACACACTCTTATAAACAAACACACTCTCCCACACTAGAGGCGTCAGGGTTGTGTGTTGTGCAGTGTGTCGTGTTGTCACTCACCCAGAACAGAGTGGGTCTCCTCCCACTGTGGACCAGCACTGAACCAGACAGGGTCACCTGGGGGGTCACAGTGCACGGCATTTAGAAGAAACATGAGTTTAATAATAATACATGGGATTTTTATAGTGCTTTTCCAAATGCTCAAAGACGCTTTACATAAAATCAGAACCGAAACAATACAAAGAAAACTAAAAAAACATAAACAGTAGTCCTAATCCAAGTACGGAGTAAAAAGGGGGGGGGGGAAACATCCTCTTGAGAAGGATTCAAGAGTGTTGGCCTTTCGAATGTGACTGGGAAGGGAGTTCCAGAGGGAGGGGGGGCTGCAGCGTGACATGACATGTTCATGTTCCTAAATTAAATCTAGATGAGAAAGCATGGCAGCATGATGTTCCGCTCACTCACCTGTATGACAACCACCAGGAAGAGGGCCACGTCTCCTGTGAAGTGCACCTCGTGGACTTGGAGCACAGAGGCACTCAGACAGAGGATCAGAACCCCGATAACAATCTGGATCGCCTACAGGGAGGGGGGGGGGGGGGACAGGTGATCAGCACTTTGAGTCCAACAGGTGCATTCAGATTATGGCAAAACATCTGAAATTCAGAGCCTCCTATGGAGGAAGTTGCACTGGAGTAGACTTTTAAGTCAGAATCCAAGACCAAGTCCTCTCTCATTTCCCTGTGTGAGGTTATCATTACAGTGTTTCTCCCGCAGTCTGCTGGTACTTTGTACAGGATGCATGCAGGATTGGGTTACATTCAAAAAGTATCCTGTTACTATTACTAGGTACCTGTACAAAATTGTTAATCAGTACCCTAATCTGAAAACAAAATATAAAGGTATGTAACCTGATTACTTTCTGTTACCTCAATATAAAATGCAATGGATATAATAAGATAAAAAAACTAAATATCAATACGTTTTTTTTTACTGAAGTGTATTATGTAAGACAACAGAACAATGTGACCTTAGGAAAGAAGAAGCCAGGATATTTAGGATCAGAAATGATCTTATTGATAGGAAGACCTGCCTTTCACTCAGCAGATTCAGACAGCAGCCTGTACACCAACAATGAAACACATGAGCACATCCTACAGTTTCAAAAAGCAGGAATCAAACCTGAGCTGACAGGAAATGCTCCGTTTTAGTTTAATACACACAGTTAAGCTCACACACACTATTTTATGAACATACAGGTTCACCTGCTGAATTAAAAACAGAACAAATGAAGCAAAGAAAGTGAAAACCATGAAGCAGATTCAGGCAGTAGAAGTATAGACTCCCAGCCTGGATGCATGTTGTGTGTTCTGGTGTACAGGACTCACCCCCAGGGTCTTGGGCTCCATCTTGAGGAGGGACTGCAGTTGTCCCGGGGAGAGGGACGCCACTGCAGGCATGGGGTCTTTGTCATTGACAGACATCGTGCTGCTGGTGGACAGAGGACAGAAGAGGGTTCAGTCAGAGACGGAATACAGCTGATACATAGAGAGGAGAGTTAAAGGTTTGGGAAAATAAAGACAAAAGGATATGGACAGAGACAATGATGTCTCTGTGTTTGACTTAATTCAACTGATATGTTGGTAAAGGCAAGGCAGCTGTGGTGGAAAAAAACGAAATACATTATACATTTTGGTCATATTGGTACTTTACTTGAGTATTTCCACATATTACTACGTTATACTTCTTCTCCGTTACATCTCAGAGGCAAATATTGAACTTTTTTCCACTACATTTATTTTAACACAGTTACTGTGAACAGTTGTTCATATATAAACACTCGATAAGCTGATATGGTCTAATGCAGTACTGTAATACTAATCTGCACAGTATTTCTAGTATCTATATTTTGACCATTTGAACAAATACAATACTAAAATGCACCTACAAGTATAAAAACAAGATTAAATAATATTCATTCTGCATAATGAGTACTTTAACTGTTATTACTTGAAGTACACTAAAGATAATACCTCTGTACTTTATATTATTCTGAAATAGGCTCTTGTGAGAAGGAGTATGAGATTTCTTATTTAAGTTACATTTTGAAATCAGGACTTTTACTGGAAGTGCAGTTTTTTAAGACCATAGCATTTGTACTTTTACTTGTATAGGATCTGAGTACTTCTCCTAACACTGGAAGGCAGAAATGTAAAGGAGGATCAACCTGCCAGCTGATTGATGTAAACATTGCAGTTTCTAACTTTGTGTTTGCAAAGATCTCTTGAGGAGGAAACCCTTTGAGTCTCAGAGACACAGGCCTGGTCATACTGGTGTGTGTGTGTGTGTGTGTGTGTGTGTGTGTGTGTGTGTGTGTGTGTGTGTGTGTGTGTGTGTGTGTGTGTCAGGTTTAGAAGACTCTATGCTGACATCCACTGGTGTTAGACAGGAAGTGGAGGGATGATGGTGTTATTTTTACTCAACAACGAAGGGTGGATTTGATTTTGTGTATCTTTGATTTTAGATATCATGGGACTCCACTTCTTAATCCACAGAGGATTTCAAACATGTAAGAAAATATCAGAGAACATGGGGCTACAACACATTTCATCTTATTTCAATTGTAATCCATAGCATATAGATCCACCCGTTTTTTAGTAATTCAATTTTTCAAGATTCAAGATTCAAAGGTTTATTGTCATAACATATACACAACTACTGTGTGATTATGTAATGTATGAAACACTTAGATCGCAGGTTCTTCAACAGTGCCATTTACAAGACATAACGAGGGGTTATGTATGGTAACCCTTGTTATATAAGCACAGGCGGAGCCCTCTACTGGACTCTATGGGTACTACCTTATCATGCAGGCATTCACCTACTGAGACTTCTATAGACGTAGCCGGCCCCGGGGCGGGCCTACCTGAATGCGCGTGCATCTCACCGCATAAAAGGAGGCCTCGCCTCCTGACCGTCATCCTACACCTCTCTTCAGCGAGCGGTATAGGACAGACAGTGCCCCAAGTAGAGGGCTCCGCCTGTGCTTATATAACAAGGGTTACCATACATAACCCCTCCTTATATCTCTCACAGGCTCCGCCCTCTACTGGACTCTATGGGTACAGTGGGCGGAGCCCCGATGTATACACGCACTGTCGTCCAGCACACCGTTCCACCTCACTGTCCCTGACCGGCTTTAGCAGCCGCTGCGCCTCACTCACCTCTCCCTCCGTTGTAACCGTGTAGAAGTCCGGGCTGCGGCTGACAGAGCACACCCAGACGCGCTTACCTCGCGAAAAGTGTGCTCGGAAAACAGTGTTGAGGGCTCCCCCCCTTCCGCCAATAGGCAGACGGAGAGAGTCCCCAGCCCTGTATGGGCTCACTATGCAACACCTCTCCCGAGTCCCTAAGGAGCACGGGGAGAGCGCAAGTGCCCCCCATGTCCCCACACTCAGACACTGACCCCGTGCAGAGTGTGTGTGGACTATAGTGTGGAGGGCTCTCCCCTCCTGCCCCCAGGCAGGCGAGGAGAGCCCTCCAGCCCCGCACTACGTCCCCCGGGACCCTCCAGGGGGCCCAGAAAAAACGTAAGCTTATTACGCCCGGGGAAGGGGTCAGATGCCCACTGACCCACAGCCCCCCCCCTCCTCACCAGTCCTGTGTTGCCCCAGCAAGCACATACGAGGATAAAGAGCCAGACATGTCCAAGAGATAAAACTTTATGAAGGGGCCTGGCGTTGACCAAGATGCCGCCGTGCATATATCCTCCACACTCACACCGTTGAATAAGGCTGTTGACACAGCTTCAGCCCGTGTGGAGTGTGCCGGACCCCCGCGGGGCAGGCTCTCCCCGCCTGTCCGTAGGCATGTGCAATGCACTCGCAGAGCCAGCCTGCCAGGCATTTCTTGGACAGAGCTTTCCCGGTCACCCCGCCCCCGAAGCACACAAACAGCTGTTCAGTGCGTCTAAGGGCAGCCGTGCGCTCCACATAACATGCTAGCACACGCACCGGGCAGAGGAGGTGCAATTTAGCTTCCCTTTTTGCACCAGGGCCTGAATCTCTGTTGAGAGGAAACCCATCTCCTCCTGGGATGATTTACCTCTCACATGCCTTTGAATGGAGGTGGGGTCCTGTCCATCCACTCTGATAGCACACAGCTGAGTTTCCATTTCCCATAACATTGTGTTAGGGGACAAGCCCTCAGCTGTGGGGCCCCAGCTATGAAGCTGTGATACTCCCTGGTGACCCGTTCCGCCGCACAACTCCCCGTGAAGTAGGGTGGCCATACGTTCGGTTTTAGGTCGGACAGTCTGGTTTTCAATGTCTGTGTCCGTCTGCCGGCGCAGCCTTGAGCCGGACGCTCATTTGTCCTCCTTTTGAGGTCATCCCTATTTTATACTTTTAGGGTATAAAAAAAAATAGACAATTATACAAAGAAATACAAATAATAAGTTATGTGTAAGTATATACCCCCGTAAGACTTGTGGTCTTACAAATTATTGGCTGAATGCGATGTCAAATAAATATCTTGTATTTCATTGGTTCATAAACGTAAACAATTAGCATGTGCTTCTTGACGTCACGTTCACTGCAGGGCACTGTGGCAGAGAGTGACGTTAGCGCTAGCCGACTAGCTCATGAGCCAACTCCACCTAGTTAGCGGTAGTGTTAAACCGCAGAAATGCCGAAACGAAAGACTTCATTTAATCCTGAATGGTCGAAAGAGCATGGATTCCTCACAAAAAGCCGAAAGGACGACTTCCATGCTTTTTGCACGTTGTGTCGTTGCGATGTGGACGTAAGCAGCAAAGGAAACGGTGCTGTCGACAGACATGCTAACACAGATAAGCACAAAAGCAACGATCAAAGCGCAGGTGCCTCTTCACTTTTATCGTTTTTCCGTGAAGCTTCATCGCCTCAAGATGACAAAATCTCTGCTGCAGAACTTTGTAAAGTTTATCATGCCGTCAAGCATCACCAGTCATACAGGAGTGTAGACTGTGGAATAAAAGTTGATCGCACAATCTACAACGACTCATCAATAGCAAAAGGGATGACCTGTGGAAAAACAAAGGCCAAAGCTTTGTGCGAAAATGTCCTAGCACCCTACTCTGTCCAGACGCATGTAGATTATATAAAAGAAAATGAACTGCATTATTCAGTGGCAAGTGCATGATGCATCAAACAAAGGTACGATCAAGTGTTTCCCCATTGTACTGAGATATTTTCACTTTGAGGAGGGCGTGAAACATGCACTGTTGGATTTTTACAGTGATAGCAACGAAAAGTCAGAAGCTATAACAAATCAGCTGCTATCTAAACTGGAGATGTCTGGACTAGATGTGAAAAAAATGTCAGCATATGCAGCAGACAACGCCAGCGTTAACTATGGAAAACACAACAGTGTTTATCAGAAACTGAAACTGGCTCAAAAAGACGTGCTCGCTGCAAACTGTTTAGCCCATATTCTGCACAATGCAACAAGATATGCAGCAAGCAACTTGGATATTGACATTGAAAATGTTGTGCTTAAGGTGTATAGCCATTTTAGCATCTCAGCTAGCAGAACGGCGCAGTTGAAGGAATTCTGCGCGTTTGTGGAAGTGGAGGAATGCAATCTGCTGCGGCACGTTGTCACGAGATGGTTGTCTCTGCTGCCATCTATTGACAGAATTCTGAAGTGTTGGAGACCCCTGACCAGCTACTTTCAGAGTCTAGGTGAGGAGGAATGCTCCAAGATGTTGTGGAAATGCTTTGGAGAGGATGGTAACGAAGTATCTGAGATGTATTTTCTCTTCCTCAGTCACATTCTGAAAGTGTTTTCAGACTGCATTGAAGCACTTGAGGCCAAATCATTCAGCATAACCTCTGTGGTTAAGGTAATGACTGAACTGAAAGGGAAACTTGAGAGAAGGTTAAAGGACACATTTTTTGGCTTTGCTGTGAACAACAAACTCAAGCAGCTAACCCCTGATCTCGCAAAGAAATGTGAGGCTGATTTTCTTGTTTTCTATGAAAGAGCCAAGAAATACGTGAGTGAAAGGTATGACTTCTCTGAGAACAGCTTTCATAGTAAAGTGTCAAAGCTTGGCCTCACAACTGCTGTGTCCTATGGAGAATACAGTGATGCAAAGACATTGACATGGATGGACTCTATGAGGAATATGGCATGGTGGAAGCTATTCTCAGCTCTTCAGCAATGGAAGGATGCCACAGTGAGGAGCGGTATCTCAAACTGTTTTCCAAAGCAGAAGTCCCACTTGTGAATCTGAGGAAGGTCAGCGCCTATATCTTCTCCATCCCATGTAGCAATGCCCATACAGAACGTGTGTTCTCAATGATGACCTCAGCATGGAGAAATGAGAGAAATCGTCTGGATGTGGACAGTGTCAAGGCAGAGCTGCAAATTTGTGTCAACTTCACATTTGAGTGCACAGACATGTACCAGAGACTCCTTACAAACAAAAAACTCTTGGAAGCAGCCAG